GGATGGGGCACGAACGCGCACGTGGAATAGCGAATGGCGCAGCGGCAGGCATGGCTGGACAGGCTGGTGATCGAAGCCGGGGTCGCACGATGGCGTTTTCTGATGGGCCATTCTGCTAGGCCTTTGGTGAGAGTGTGTCTAGGTTACCGTCCAACGGAATCCTATCTCATCGGACGTTTGGGCGCTAGCAGTGGCTAACTATTAGGGTTTCAGCTCCTCTACAGTAGCAGCAGCCAGTGAAGCGTTCAGAAATCATCCGGCTCCTCTAGTCGTTTAGTTCATTTTCGGCCGACTGAAGTCAGAGCTGTTTTTAGTTTACTACAGCTACAGTGCCAAAACAGTTTATTATGGTTGAAGCTAAAGCTGTTTTTTACTACATCTAGAGCCATTCAAAGCCTATCCAGGCTGGGCTTGGTCCATGCTGTGGCCTGTTAAGGCGCATTTGGACATTTGGGGATGGGCCGTAGCCAGGTGGTTGTTGGGGGTTAGAGCAACCCTAAAAGTCTCTTTTCCGTTTATAATCTTTTGTATTGATAGAAATAGATATTTTAGTAAAAAATCAGCAACTTCTTTAATTAAATCTTCAAATATTATTATCTTCTATTCTGAGTTTTTTCTAGTCAAAGATGGAGGGAATGGCTCTACAGTACAGATAAGATATAGGAAAGTTGTTAGAGAGCAAAAATATATATAAAAAAATGTTTTCTATTTAAATGGTTCTCTGAATGAGAATTTTGAGAATGAGATTAAGAAAAACTTTTGGACGTGCTCTTAAAAGCATGTATGTCATGCTTTTTTTGGGGAACTAGACGTCATATTTTTATATATAGAAATAAAAAGGGGCTCAAGTGTTTCTACTTCTGTTTTGAAGTGAAACGATGATTTTGCCCTTCTTTTTTTAACTTTATGATTTTACCCCTACGATTTCAAAATAAGGGTAGACTTTAACCCTACTCCGTGAAGTCCCTCTAGCAGTGTTAACTTTTGGACCAAAGAACAACTTTGCCCATGCGTTTTTACCTCTGTTTATTTTGATATTTGTGTTTTACCCCTATTTTCAGATCTGCTATTTGGCAATTTTGATATAGAATTATACAATATCAATCAGTGCAAAACTCAATATTTTTTAGAAAAATCGATAACATTTCAGCTAATAATCCATATAATCACAAACAAGTCCTTCTTCCCCTGGCCATCCATGGTCATGGTAGCCATGGGAGGCTGCTAGTCCTATGCTCACGTTCAAGGGGGAGGGAGCTTCAGATAGGGTGGTGGGACCCATGGTAGAGGCGTGCTGGACCACGCCCGCGGTGGCCAGTTGCGGCGCTGGGCTAGGCTCGCTCGGTCTGCACTGGCGACGGACAGTGATGGTCGATGGCCTCCGTGCGAAGCCGCACAAAGCAGCACACACAGAGGGCGTGGGTCGGCATAGAGAGGGGGCTGGGCAAGGAGCGCGCTACCTGAGGCGCGGTGGTGTCACAAGGAAGGGGCGCAGCCAAGGGATGACCAAAAACAGGAGAAGAAAAGGCCAGCAATGGCGGAGTTCACGGAGTTGAAGAAGAAAGGATGGCGATGCAGTCAAACGGGAACCAATTCACGCAAATGAGTATACCACAGTGAAGAGAATGAAGAGAGCAACCTTGTGGTGGTGGTCGTTATCGCCAGAACTCAACGAATTCATCGAAAAAACTCACCGGAGAGTTCACCGAAAACCTACCTTTTCCTCTGTGGCGCCTTAGCCGTCGCGGGCGCAAGCTGGGGGTGGGGGAGCACCACCACCGGGAGGAGTTTCGCCGCCGTGTGAAGCCGCTAAAACCCTATCAGGAAACCTCCTGACGTGTTTCCTGCTCGACGGTTCAAGTGAGCGAGAGAGGGGAAAAGCTTCTGAGGGGCATTGTTGTCTTTTCGTCTAGCTGCATTATTTGCCATTTAATCCAACCAGTCCAAACAGTGTTAGAGAGTAGGGGTAAACGGCTACTTCGTTTGAAAACGACGATGGCAAAATCACAAAGTTAAAAAAGAAGGGATAAAATCACCATTGAGGTTTGGAGTAGGGGGCAGAAACACCAAATTCCCAATAAAAAACATAGTTTACATGCTAAATATTTAAATTAAATTTGGATGCACCATTGTATTTTTATAAAAATTCTTCAAAGCAAGGCTCCACTTAAGTATATTTAAATAAATTTTGTTATTGAAGAATACTTTTCTCATAAAGATATAATATTTTTGTTTTGTTAAGCACGTACAATGTTCTAAGTTAAGGACAAAATGTTCCACGTTCATAAGGTAAGGAAATGTTTGATGTTTATAATAGTAGACCAATATCTTAGGTTTAGGACAATAGAATGTTTAGATTTGTGTGAATGATATTTAGTAATATATAGAAATTAAAAAAATATAGTTTACGGGCTAAAGATTCAATTAAATTTGGATTGCACCATTGTATTTTTTTTTAATAAATTCTTCAAAGCAAGACTCCACTTAAGTATATTTAGATTATTTTGTATTGAAGAATATTCTCATAAAGATATACTATTTTATTTTTGTTAAGCACGTGCAATGTTCTAAGTTAAGGACAAAATGTTCCCCTTCATAAGGTAAGGAAATGTTTGATGCTTATAATAGTAGACCAATATTTTAGATTTATGGTAATATAAATTTTAGATTTGTGTGAATGGTATTAAATAATATTAATGTCCAATAGTAGGAAAAAGAGAACATCTCATGGATATTGTTGGGACAATTAAAATATATCGTAGAACATCTCACAGATACTACACGAACAACCTATGATACACCATTCTCATAAGTATTGTCTAAAATATAAAAAAATACATCATGTAACGTCTCACGGGTATTAAATGAACAACACGAATTATAACACGGAATATTTTTGGGCCCTTCGCTTCTCTTATAATCCATACTTTTTAGCTTATTTTTTCAGCCGAAACCGTATTTTTCTCTCACAACAAATAAGCCGAAGCAGTGTTTCGGCTTGTTTTTTCAGCGAAGCGAATAGGGCCTTGGGTGCTATGTGAAAAATAAAAATATATCATAGAACATAACATGGATATAAACCTAAAATATAGGAAAACAAACTACTTAACCCCATTGTTGTAACTATTAATATTTGTCTACTTCACCTCCTACCTACAAAAACAAATATTTTTTCCTTAGAGTATGAAAAACCGCTAAGTATAACCCCGAGGTGGTTTTGAAGGCAGTTTTACTAATATGGCTTGCTACGTGATGATAACATGGCTGTGAGTCAGCAAATAGTAGGAGAAAGTTTACACAATTCCCTAACATATAGAGGGTTTACCACATAATTTTCTCAACTACAAAACCTAGTATTATAACCCTTAAAGTATATAATAATGTTCAAGTGACCGTAGATGGTTTTTAGGGCTATTTTGTCATTGTACCTCGTCATGTTGGCTGATTATCCATGCTTGCATTTAGATCCATCTTTAAGTGGATATATTTTTTTCTTTTATTTTTTACTCCTCAAGCTAACCTCTCTCCTTCGCTTCCCTCTATCCTTCTCCATTCTCTCGTTCTAGGCATCTCATGAGCATCTCATGGGTGATGTATGAACACATCATGGATACTACGTTAACAAAACTCAGAAAGAAAAGAACCATGATAGATCTAGAATTATACGTGAACTTGTTCATCCACTCAAACTATGCACACACAGATATATAGAAAAAAATAACTAACTTAGGCTAAATATACTTACCTCGACAGTATAAAAAATAACTAACTTAGAATTTGTTTGGAACGCAGGGATTTTATAGGAATCATTTTAATTTCACCGGAAAACACAGAAATAGGATAATTCTCCCACATCTCAAAGAGATATACAGCTTTGTAGTTGACTATTTTTTTATTTGAAATTATTCATCCTTTTTCACTTGAATTTGTTTAGGGTCCCAAATATTGATTTCAAAATCTAGTAAGTGAATGTATACAAAGAAATATATCTGCAACTTGTGACGTGCGACCGTGAGGCTGTCTGGTAGGGGCTTACCTAGGTTAAAAAAATAATTTGTGATTTGAGACAGTTAGATTTTGAATCATCCTTGGAAATTGATTTGTAGAGTTGGTTCGTGCTTCTAGTTGTCTCTACGGATAAATTTCTAGAAGTAAGTAGACAGACGTCTCTATAAATTGTTCATTTGTACAAAGTTGTCGGCCTCTACAAATCATCCTGGTGGTAGTAGGATGGGCATTCATGTCGCGCCTACCAAAGCCACGGCTTAAACACGGGTTAAATTGCCCAATCACTAGGTGTGCGTGCGCCGCTAATCAAGCGGCGCACACGACAACCCTGTGGCTGGAACTGAGGAAGAAGGGAGTAGGGCAGGGACGGGGGTCGGCGGCGGCGGCGGTTAGGGTTTTAGTTTTTGCGACCATCCATGGCCGGAAGGGTTGAGGGGCGGTGGGCGAGGCAGCGGCGGCACCACTGAGCGGGCGGAGGGAGATAACCAGATAGACAATGCCAATGGCGGGGGCAAGGAGTTGCCGGTGAACTCCTGGATTGGAATTAGGGAAGGGCGGGTTCATCCAGCGAGCGTGGTAGGTGGGCGGTGAGGTCGCGGGGGTCCTGGGCGGCGGTTGAGGCAGCGGGCGGGAGGAGGAAGATGGTACAGGAAGGAGAGAGAGAGAGAGGGGAGGAAGAAGATGAGTGTGCCGCTATCCCTACTAGTGCGCGACAAGGATGAGGGTCGGGCTGGATTGGCATTAGGCCAGGCCGGCGCCGACGGCCGATCCAGTCCCGTGCCATCCCATATACGATCTACTACTTTCATAAGCAGTTTTTGTGTATATAAAAGTATACAAACCCATCTCGCAATCCCTCCCCTCGAGTCCCCCAACCTACTCTTTGACTCTTTCGAGTTCCAAAGCAATCTCATCAGAAAAGAAAAAGGATAAAAACCCTAGAGCTAGAGGCTACGCGCCCGGAGCCCTGTCCGCTGCGCCGACCAGGGACGATGGCTGGCATCCAGCCGGAGCAGGAGAGCCACGTCCTGCCGTCGGGGTCACCCCACCCCGTGGCCTCCAACTCGGAGCCAAACCCGCCATCGACGCCCCTCTCAACAATCCCAGCTCTGACACGGGACAAAACCCCAGCCACCAGCTGCAATCTGCTCTCCTGGTTTCGCCACCCGCTGGCCACGTTCACGGCTTCCCTCAAGCACCGCCGCTGCGCGTCCTTCGGCGACAACCCCAAGGCCGGGAGGAAGAAGAAAGCGCAAATCCTGGGCGACGCGTGCAAGGATGACGAGGCGTCGGAGGCCAAAGCCCTGCAGGAGAAGAAGAAGGCGCCCGGTAGCAGCACTAGAGATCCCGAGCTCCTCGCCGACTCAATCCCCAAGGCCATCGGTGCCACTACCGCAGCGCACATCGTGGATTGCTTCAACGACGATGACGTCTACGTGAAAAAGGTCGCCGCCCTACACCCTTCCCATGTACGTCTTTGTGAAGGTGAAGGAGACATTCCTTCTTTTAGATTGTTCCATTCGTAATGATGCTATGTGTACATGAATAGCATTATATATATCCTATGCATACTTTTAAGGAAGCTCTTTGTCCATCATACAAAGCTTAACTGCTTAAGTACAATTTGCATATATACGGTAGATTGCTAGTTTGAAAATCTATAAAGAGGCATAAACAAAACAACTGTTTTGTTCCGCACCAATCTGATTTGAACCCAGACGGCCGCCAACAATAATCTAGAGTCCTGGCCTCACCATCGCCGCTTGCCCCAAATTCTTCTGTGCACCCTCGTCCCAGTTTAGTTTGTTATGTTGTTAGGGCGTCCCCAACGGGCTACCTGGGCTCATTTTTTTAGCTGATCTGGATGTGAGAGAGTAGACAAAAATGCAATTAGCGATGAGTGAAGCGGTAGTCTCTTACACTGCCAAATGCTTCTTGTGTCTTGCATGTGGATTTTGATTCTTTCACCTCCACACCGAATGCTTCCTCTATTTATTGTTTCGCTGCCACATCAGCTAGCTAAATCTCCAGCACTGTTGAGGCCGCCCTTATTAATTAGTGCCTCTCGTTTAACTTGCATATGTTAATGCCTGCTCACATCCATTGTGTTCTCAAAGACTGTATGAAGTTATCTGTGTGCTGCCTGTTTAGCTCTGCTAAGACAGAGAGACATAAGTGCTTTGCTAATTGCTTGCGTGCTGAGCTAAAATGCTCAAAATGATGGAACATACATTGGACATGTGAAAATGCTCTAGGAGGACATGGCCATAGAAGGCAAGGAGGAGAAAGCAAAGGCGAAGGAGCAGCAGGGGTCTCCCGAGAATGTGGAGAATGTGGTGGAGAAGAAATGGGTTGGGGAGCCCATCGACATCACCGGGGCCAACAACGACTACAAAGGTGACACATTTCTCTTGGAAGTTACGGAGTAATTCTTATTCTTCCATGAACCATGAATGATCATACCAGTCGAGTTGACGTTTTTTTTTCCTTGACGAAAATCTTCTCTGTTGAATTGTTGGTGTCCTTTGTTTCAATCAGTCGCTATTACGTCACCTAATAAGCTGCCAGAATCTGCACCGATCACGAACGAGGAAGCAGCTGCAGCACACTCAGGTTACTCATCCACTTCATCATCCGCGGTTTGTACTTTGTAAGCTGTCAAATAATAGGGCTGATTTGGTTCTCCATTGCTTAGTGGCGACAGCAGGCGGGTTGGGACTACGCTGTTGGGAAATGAATCAACAACTGGCTGCTGGGATACAAGATGCGACTGAAAATGCTGAAGAAGCAGCAGCTCCTGCAACAGAAGACACTGCTTATATATATATGTTGCTTCAAGTCATCATATTTATAATGCACAATATCTTCTTTCTTAATGAAATTCATCTCCAATCATATGCGTTGATGTCCTTTGTTTCTGTTTTCAGTTACAGCGGTTTCTGGGATACAGGAAATTAAATGAATAATTAATAACCATTCAACAATAATTTGCATGCGCACGGCGGTGCAAGGCTCAGCCAGGCTTGAAGATCTATCTTAAAATTAGATGCAGGTTTAATAGTTGGTTTGGACATTTAGTGAGTTATTAGTAGTTCGGTTGTTAGGAGATAGTTTTTATACCAGGATTATATTTATTAGGTTGTTAAGATCTTTGGGAGATCATCGATCGGTGCAAATAAACAGATGCACGGTGTATATAAATAAAAGAGTGGATATGGATTATCACGGATAATTCAATTTTTTAGTTGCATTTACTAGGTTTGAATCTCTTTGGAGTTTTTTTTGTATGTTACTAGATATATGTCCCTACATTGCACTGGAGCCATGATTTTTGCCCAAGCCTATGCATGTGGCTTGTGGCTTATATGAACACATTAAGAAATTTATAAATCTAATCGCGTAGAAAATATAAAGCTTGTTGCATGATCTTGACCTATATCGTGTAAATCTACTTTATAGAAACCTTACAAAATCAAAATTGGTTTCACTTTTTTTACTACTATGATTCATGATCTTTATCACTTGTATCATGTAGATCTAGTTTATAGAAACCTAACAAAATTGGTTTTACTTTTTTTAATTAATAATTGTGTGATTTGTAATTATGCATTTTACAAGTTTAAGCTGATTTGGTAATTTTAGAAATTAATATAAAGCCGATAAATGATTTTGCATTGAAAACTCTAAACTATTTCCAAATCTATTTAGGTCTTCTCTATTTTTTTCTCTTTATTAGTTATTTATCAACTTGAACCATATTCTCTTTCTATTTATTCCTCACATCCTTCTCCTCTTTTTCCGCTCGGAGCGCCTATTCCCAAGTGTCTGTTCTAATTTTTTCTTTTTCCAATTTGATTTTTTTCGTTCAGACGTGCCTTAGTAAGGAGCGAGGGGCGAGCGGGGTGGGAGGCAGATGATAATGCTTCCTATTTTCTTAGGTGTGGAGATAATATAAATTGGATTGGTTTCGTCATGATAATTTGGATTTTGGATATTATTACTAGACCTCACAACCTCCTTATAGTAATCCAGCAAGTAGAGGTTCTTGTCTAATTTGTTTGAGTAGTCCTCAGTGTTGTAAAACATATGGTCTCTAGGTCTCTAAATCTAAAAGGAAAGGAGGAAAAATCTTAATCATAGTTTGTTCTCCATGTAGGTTCTTGTCAAACTCTTAGACCTATATATGTGGGGGGTCTACAGTAATCATCAATATTCAATGAATAAAGAATCTCCTATGTTGTGTCTTTATATTCTTCTAGCGGTATATTTCACAACATGACAAGCTCTACATCAACCGTTGGAGCCACCGCCGATCTCAGCATTGACACTCATATCAATACCAATGTCTCTACCGACAACTACTTTTAAGACGTCCACATCCCGACATTGTCAATGGGATAGATCTGCCACCTCTACTTACTTTTTTAGAAAATATAATAAACATTCGGCTTCATCCTTGCTGATAAGTGAGGATCAGACCACATTATTACAAAAGAAGTTCTTACACTCATGTTTAAAGTAGACTCACATAAAAGACAAAATCAGTTTGCAATCCTAGACATAATGGGCCATCCATAAAGAAAAAAAAACCAAAGCCGATGTCTCCCAGGGTCTGACAAGCCTTGTGGATGCATTCTTTCTTTTCTTCACTTCGCTACCACTGACCCTAGAACCAATGTGTTTCCCTGAATAAGAAATGCAAAAATATTTGAGGATTGCACTTGTCAAAAACACTATCATTTCTAGTGAGCCTAAAGAGGCAGTCGTCCCTGATAATGATAACAAGCTTGAATCTTTTCCACACTACTTATACCAATCCTAAAAAAGGTTATAGTACACGGCGGGGGTAATACCAAACATATATGCAACGCACGCCAAAGAAATTTAGCATATTTACACTAAATTACATATGTTGAATAGTCTCAAAATTATTGCAAAAGCACCTCTACTACCATTGGACCACACTACATCGACATCATCGTCATTAAAAATGATAGGTCTTCTACCATGCCTATTACCCTATATGGTATGCATCTACTGATAATTACCTTACGCGGCCAATGAAGTAGATCAATTAAGCAACCAACAAGACAAGGTACAAAATTGCATCTTGTAGATCACTTGTGCCCCAACCATCAAGCTAGGATATTGTTTATTTCCTCTGCACCTATTTAATTTTCGTTTTTGTTTCCCTAAAAATTATCATTAGATAGATCATTGAATCTATTTTTATAATAAGCTTATTTAGAGATATAAATGTTGCTAATATTTATTACATACCTAGTTAAATCTAAAAATGTTGACCAGCATGCTTCATGTAGCGACGGGTTAAATAAGAACAGAGAGATGTCACAATACTGTATACGTAGCACATACAAGTTTATACATCTAGTGCGTACATATAAATGAACAATATAGCATCTATAGCTGCATCTAGGATTCATTAAAAAAAGGGCATGGTAGCAGCCGCACTGTTGATCTACATGCCATCACATCTCACACTGTACCGCAAGTCCACAGGACGAGCGCCGCCTGGACGCGGCACCTAACCCTGCAACAGCAAAGTTGTGACCTACAAGTCATCATCAATTCACTGTGCATGTGAGATCTATAATCTATTGATAGCTAGAGAGATGAATAGCTTAATTAAAAAATAGTTGTAAAGCACAACACTAACAAACTAGTTAGAAACTTAAGAGGTCTTTTTAATAATAAGGAACACAACAAGCCATGTCTAACAAGCCTAGAGAACAACTCCTACACAATTCTAGTATCAAAGATCACAACTAAGCAAGGCAACTAGAAAAGATAAACTAACTAGGCAAGCACTAGGCAGACAAAACTAATATCTCTACTCTATGAATTAAATAGCACAAAATAAAGTATGAGTGTGGGGAGCGCAAACCACACAAGATATATCCCCGTGGTTGGGTGACTTTGCCGATCACCTATGTTCATGTTGAGGTGAGTCCAAGGACCACCTCTCCTCTACAAGATCAACAACACCTCAAGGGTGGCTCTAACGTGAGCGGTTGTGTATGAACTAGCTCCATCATAAGGTACTCCAACAAGCATTGATTCCACTATAATTGCTCTTCGCCTCTATGGCGGGGAATGAGCATTGTGCTGAAAGCCCTAGTTTGGTTTTAGATAATTGATGAAACCTAGGACTAACCTTTGATCTAAGTGTGTGAATTAGATAAGGTAGTCCAATCCAAGTCATGGAGCTAGATGATGGTCATGGTGAAGGTAATGGCCACAAAAGAGATGATCAAGTGCTCTATCTTGGAAAAGAAGAAAGAGAAAAACAAAAACCAAGGAGATCAAGGCAAAGGTATAAAATAGGTTTTTATTTTGGTGATAAAGACACTATAGAGAGTGTGATCACTATTGACATTTCTTAGCATCGCTACTAAGAACAGAGTTTTAAATCTATCCCCGACAACGGCGCCAAAAATGCTTGTTGGTATTTATTAACGTGTCACTTGTTTTAAGTAGCCACCTATTATAAACCTATATCTCCTAACATTACTTTACTAGGTTGTCATCCCTAGTGATAATGCCAGATATGCTTGTTGGTACTACACAGTATTACTACTAGAATAATACTAAGTAGTTCTTTATTATTTTATGTGACTAGAAAAAATAAATAAATATATGAATGAAAAGGATCTACAAGTGCACAGATAATATACCACTGTAGCATTTTACCCGAGAGTATTCCAGATATCATTATTTATATTTTTACCACAGGAAAGGTCTAGCATGGACATGTATTGATAACTTATATTATTGAAGGAGAAGTAAACCATAACCAATGTTCCACTCATAACAGGGGTAAGTCGTAGGATAAGATATATATATATATATATATATATATATATATATATATATATGATAAGTATTGATCAATAATATTGATAAATCACTCAGAGTACTCATTTCCATGGTATTAGCATGGTTAGGTAGAATATTAGAAGAATAATTACTAAGTTATTCCTAATTACAAGTCAAAGCATACATTGATTAGTGCAATTATACCTATTAGTCATTGCTAAGATCATCTACATATCTACACATAAGGGATATTACTAAGGAAGATTAAGAACAGAGCTTGCCCTTTCTTCGTAACCGGACCCTACGTGCTCCTATATTTGGGGAGTGGACTACAAAGGACTCAACGGGAGTGTCATATCTACGATCTACTACATGACCCAGAATATAGGGTGTATCCGCAGGTAAACAATGTATAAGCACCATGCTTACACAATGTTGACCACTCACCCCGTACGCAGCGGAGTGAGTGCTATACGAACTTATGCATGGATATAATGATAAACTAGCTATACTAAGCATATAACCAAAGTAGACGATGAACATTATAACAAAGAACATGAATAAGATGAATACTAATATTGTCATAACAATT